ACTCTAGTTACTAGAATATAAATGATAATATCTTTTAATAGGTTATTATTTCCAAAGCACTCTATATTTTAATAGAAAAAATCTAAGCCAGCCAGTTTCAAATTTTAAAGGGATATATAAATTATTAATCTATGAGTTTAGTATATTAAATAAAAATAGAAATATAGTATAGTTGAACTTAAAATTCCCAAGAATTCTTTACAAAATCTCACAAGAAGAATCAAAGATGATCAAGGCTCCAGAGTATCTGAATTACTTTTTTTCCTATACTTTGAAAGGAATGTTCTGATTTAAAATTGAAGCAAAAATTGATACAGCAATGATGAAAACTGTGTCTTAAATTTTGACCAGATCAGAGTTGGAGAAGAGAAAGACAGAGCTTTTTGTACAAGGCTTGCAGTAATGTAAACCAGGATGAACTTTCTGTAGGAAAACTGGCAATACATACCAAAAGTCACATGTATATAGCACTTGACTAGTCATTTACATCCAAGAATTTAGCCTTGTTGTGAAACAGTCAAAGATACACTCAGCTCTGGACAGTGGCTCAGTTGGTTGAAGTGTAGTCCCATACACGGGGTGCATAAGGGAGGCAACCAATTGATGTTTCTCTCTCTTCCCTTCCTTAGTCTCTAAAATAAATTTTTTAAAAACATACCCTCACATGAGGATTTTTTTAAAAAAGACAGACAGGCATCACTGTGTAGACACTATGGTCAGACAATTCTGACTGGATATACTGATTAGAAAACATCCACCACACAGGTGATGAACACACAATACAGTATACAGGTGATGTGTTATATAAATGTACGCATGACACCATTATAATTTTGTTAACCACTGACACTCTAATAAATGCAATAAAAAGGAAAATATTTTTTTAAAAAAGAAGATATTCACTCCATGATGCTGCCTGAAAAATCACAAACTGTAAAATGCATGAGTGAAATGACTTTTTTTAAGGAAAAACTCTCTCACACATAGTCATGCATATACATTTGCATACTTAATTTTTTAAAAAATAACTGTAAAAATATACCCCAAGCTTTAAATGGAGTTACCTCCAGGGAATGTGATCAAGAGAGAGTTGGCATTGTGTGGAAAGAAAATTTAATTTTCTGCTTTATAAAACTAGTTTATTGTTGAGAACCAAGATGGTGGTGTAGGTAAACGTGGGTACACACTGACTCCCATAACCACATCAAAATTACAACTGAAAGAAAACCCTGATAACTGAGGACCAAAAAAGGAGACCGCACAGCGACTAATATGAGGGGTGGAAGCACGAAAGGGCTGGCCCAGCTCCCGCAGCAACTGAAGTTCCAGAGAGATATCTCAGCTGTGGGAGGTTGCGACTGAGAACTCTGGGGTCTAATCCTCAAGATGGTCCCCCAGCAAAGAGCACCAGAACTGAGAAAGGTACCCACATAACATCTGGCTCTGAAAAGCAGCAGGGTTGCTGTCTGCCAGGGAGAGATGGCTAGAAATTCAGGCACCCTCTTAAAGGGCCATGCACAAAATTCCCTGTGTAGCCACCACCTTGAGCTCCGGCAGAGGGTGGAAAGTGTGGACTTGAGTTGCGTGAGCAGAATCAATGATCGGAGCCTCTAGGGTTAAAACTCAGAAGGCAGACACCCTGGTTTCCTGACCCGAGTCATTCCCTCACACTGAAGAGGTCCTATTTCTCAAGCAGACATTTGCGATATAGGCAACCTTGCCTAGGTGGAAGACAGTTGATCCACCCTATTGGAAAACACCTTGCCCCACAGTGCAGAGTTGCTCAGTCACATTAAGAGACTAAAATTATCCTCTACCCTGTTGAAAAAACTCTTGCCACACCTGTGGATGCTTGCCTGAGGGCAATTCAAGACAAAATCCTATCAGTCTGTAGATAGAGGTGGTCTCTGGTGGTTTTAAAACTTTGCCTGATCTAATTAGTCAGAAACAGCATTTGCCATTGTCCTGCATTAGAGATTGGAGGCATAGATCTACCTAATACATAGTCCTAAACCCAAACAGGGAGACAAACTGAGGAGACAAAGAAACAACCCCCAAATGAAAGAACAAGAGAATTCTCCAGAAGAAGAGATAAATGAAACAGACATAAGAAATTTATCTGATACAGAGTTCAGAATAATAATGATAAAGATACTCAACATCATGAGAAAAGATATAGTAACTATGAAAATGGAAATAAAGAATGGCATAGCACAAATAAAGAACACATTGGAAGGAATACCCGCAGAGTAGAAGCTGAAGATCAAATCAGTGAATTAGAAGACAGAGTTTTAAAAAAAATCACTCAATCTGAGAACCAAAACGAAAAAAAAACCAACCCTATCAGTGCAATGGTCTAGAAATTGTTAGCCCAGCAGCTGGGTCTGCCTTGAGTCTCATGCCTTTATTTTCTCTGCTCTGAGGTGTATCCCCCTCTCTTATGGATCTGGTTCATCAGTTGTCTGGTTCAGATGCTCAGGGTGGTGGGAGCATGTGTACAGTTCTTCAGGTGTGCCACTCCCTATGTTGACCCAGAGCCCTCTGGCATTCAATTCATTGTCCGGCCCTTGCACCTGTGGCAGGGTGGCAACCTAGGTCCCTCTGGCAGTGCACTTGCAGTGTGGTTTTGTGGCCCCTGGCTGGGTATACTGGCTTGCTCTGGGTCACTCCGGCACCACTGTCCTGTGGCCTGGAGTGAGGTGTGTGTTGTGTTGCTCCAGCTAGCCCCTGCAGGCCTGTCCCAGGCACCAGTGAGAAGCAGATGTGGGTTACTCTTGGTCACACAGTCAGAGCTCCCCTGTGGCCTGAGTGGGGTGCACGCTGACTTACTCCAGGATGTCCTGGTAGCAAGACCCTGGACTTGAGGTGGAGTGGGTGTGGGTTATCTGGGTTGCACAGTTCTTACTTTCTTGTAGCCCACAGTGAGACATGCTCTGGGTTTTTCCTGATGGCCCTGGCAGGACTTCACAGGGGCCAGGGTGGAGTGGGCACGGGTTGCTCTGGGTTGCATAGTCAGAGCTCCCCTGTGGCACACTCCTGTGGCCTGGAGTGGGGTGTGCTCTGGATTGCTACAGATTGCCCTGGAAGCAGGTCCTGGGGCTCAGGATGGAGCAGGTGCCAGGTGGCTCTGGGTCAGGCTAGCAGTATTGTTCTGGGGTCCTGGGTGAGGGTGGAGCACAGGATTCCCCTGGATTGCACTCACTGTGAGGGTCTTGGAGCTGGATTCTAGGACTCTGAGTCCCAGCAGGCTGGTGAGGAGGCCTGGTATGGGTGCTTACTCTGGTGGTGTGCTTTCCCTGCAGATGTGTGGGAGCCTGTGGGAGGTACTGCGTCACTCACTGCCCTTGAATATTGTTATGTTTCATATTTTCCCACAGCTCCACTTGTCTGTCCTCCTGTTTCTTAACTGTTTTTTGTTTTTCGTTTTTGTTCTCAACCTTTCAAACCCCAAAAAGGGTGCCCAGGGCCAGAAAGAGACAGAAAATGGGGAGACAAAGACACAATCCTCAAAGGAAAGAAAAGAAGGAATTGCCAGAAAAGGAACTAAGTGAAACAGAGGCATGCAATATGTCAGAAAAAGAATTCGGAATAAGGGTCATACAGTTCATAATCCAGATGGATTAGGAAATCAACAATTTATGTAAGAATAAAGTGGAAATGAAAAATTATATAACTACAGTAAAAAAACACAATGGAAGGTTTCAACAGTAGACAAGAAGATTGGGACCAAATTAGTGACCTAGAAGATAAGGCAGAAAAACACCCATTCTGAACAGCAATTGGAGAAAAAAAATTAGAAAACAGGAGAAAAGTGCTAAGGAAGGTTTTGGACAACATCAAATGAACTAATATACGTATTACAGGGGTTCCAGAAGTACAAGAAGAGGAACAAGGATTAGAAAACCTATTTAAAGAAATAATAACAGAAAATTTCCCTGACTTGGGAAAGAAAAAATATCACACAAGCACAGAGAGCCCAAAACAAGATGAACCCCAAAAAGGCTCACACCAAGACATGTCGTAATTACATGGCAAACGTTAAAGACAAAGAGAGAATCTTAAAGGCTGCAAGAGAGAGACAGAGAATTACCTACAAAGAATCACCCATTAGATTATCAAAATGATTTCTCAACAGAAACACATCAGGCCAGAAGGGAATGGAATGAAGTATACAAAGTGATGAAAAACAAGGAACTGAATGACAGAATACTCTATACAGCAAGGTTATCATTCAAAATTTCAGGGGAAATAAGGAGCTTCACAGACAAAAAAAAAAAAAAAGGCTAAGGGAGTTTATCACTACTGAGCCAGAAATGTAAGAAATGCTAAAGGGACCGTTGTAAAAAGAAGAAATAGAAAAGGAAGAAGGAATATGGACATAAAGAATAAAAATGGTTATAAACAAGTACCTATGAATAATAACCTTAAACGTAAATGCACTAAATAATTCAATCAAAAGACATAGAGTGACTGAATGGATAAGAAGGGACTCACACAGAACGGACCCACCTCAGAACAAGGGACTCACACAGACTGATAGTGAAGGGACAAAAAAATATTTTTCAGGCAAAGGAAAATGAATAAAAAAGCTGGGGTAGCAATACTTATATCTGACAAAATAGACCTCAAAGTAAAGCCCATAGCAAGAGATAAGGAAGTCCACTTCATAATACAAAGGGTTCAATACAACAAGAGGATATAACAATGGTAAACATATATGCACTTGATGCAGGAGCACCCAAATACATTTAAAAACTTCTGGAAGAATCAAGAGAGATATCAACAGCAATACAATCATAGTAGGAGATTTTAATACCCCATTGACATCACTGGATAAATCCTCCAGACAAAAAAAATCAGCAAAGAAACAGCATCCTAAATGCCTGACTAGATCAGATGGACTTAATCAACATCTTCAAAACATATCACCACGGTCCCCGCCCCCGGCCCCGCCTCCAAGCAAGCAGTGCCCTGCACACTACTGGGGGTGAGATGCCACGATGGGGAAGGTGGCAGGCAGCAAGGCTTACTTCCAAAGGGGCAGTCTGTTCTGGTTCACAGTCATCACCCTCTCCTTTGGCTATTACACGTGGGTTGTCTTCTGGCCTCATAGTATTCCTTATCAGAGCCTCGGGCCCCTGGGCCCCTTTACTCAGTACTTGGTGGACCATCACCACTCCCTTCTGCACAATGGGTACTGGCTTGCCTGGCTGATTCACGTGGGCGGGTCCTTGTATGCCATGGTATTGTGCAAGTCTAAAGGCATCACGAATAGTCGGGCTCAACTACTCTGGTTCCTGCAGACATTCCTCTTTGGAATAGCCTCCCTCTCCATCTTGATCGCTTACAGACCAAAACGCCAAAAGCAAACTTAAAGGAGATCTCCAACCCTTTCCCTGCACTGACATCCAGCCTCACTTTTGTCTGGGGATGATGTGTTTACTCCACCTTTCTGTTTTCTGGAAAGTTACAACCCTCTAGTTAGTCATTATCTCATATTCTCTGGTTGGGCTTGAGTAGATAATAGGAAAAGGTTTTGTCTTTCCAATTCTCAAGACTAACCTATTTGGCAGACTACTTCTAGCTACCTTCGCGAAGGCCTTGGCTGTGTTGGTGCTCTCTCCCTGCCATCTGGTTTAAGCCACGTACTAAATTTGCTTGTTGGTATACCTGTGTTTCCACCTTTTGACTAAAACACCTTACCCATACCACCTCCATCTTAGCTGATTAGGGGTTGCTTTTTGGTAAGGTAAAATATTTTAGAGTTAATGGATGGATTTTTTTCAAAAGCATGGTCCTCTCCAAGGGAAATAATGACAGTAGTATTAATAGTGCCAGTACAATATGGTGCATGAAATAATGACAGAGGAATTAATGGTGCCGGGAACAATATGGTGCATTATTGAATGAAATGGATTAACAAATAAAATGCTGTCTTTCCATTGGGAAAAAAAAAACATATCACCACAAAGCTACAGAATATACATTTTTCTCAAGTGCACATGGGACAGTTTCAAAGATAGACCACATATTGGGACACAGGCAAAGTCTCTTCAAATCCAAGAAGATTGAAATCATATTAAGCATCTTTTCAGGTCACAATGGCATAATATTAGAAATAAACTATAATAAAAACAATTAAAAATTCAAACATTTGGACACTAAATAGCATGTTATAAAAAATGATTGACTTACCAAAGAGTTCAAAGAAGAAATAAAATATATCCTGGTAACAAATGACAAAGAAAACACAACAATCCAAAATCTATGGGATGCAGTGAAAAAAAAAAAAAAAAGAAAGAAAGAAAAGAAAGGAAAGGAGGTAAGGAGGGAGGGAGGGAGGAGGGAAGGAGTAAGGAAGGAAAGAAGGAAGGAAGGAAGGAAGGAAGGAAGGAAGGAAGGAAGAAAGAGAGAAAGAAAGTA